GGCAAGGAGTGTAGTAGGCGAGAGGACCCTTATAAATGACTGTAAAGCGGTATATATTGATGAATTATATGATCTAGTGCATGAATGGAGTTTTGATTGCATTGCGATGTGGTGATGTAGCGATGCTCGGAAAGGGTTGAAGGTGGGAACATCCTCGAGGGAGAACTTGAAAATTGTACCACCAAGACAGGCCCCCAAAGTACTTGAAATTACTCCAAGAGTCTTTTAGAATATGATAATGCGCTTGGATACATTCCAATTACTCAAGATGCATGGCGGTGACTTGGCCTTTGTCACACTGAGCTTGCCGCCACCGACACACCAGCGAGCAGCACCATCCAGCAGCAGGACATCAACAACGCCGAAGGCAGAAAAAATGGTATGATATGATCATTCTTTGCATACTGCAGATGCTTGAAATGAAGTTTGAGTATGCTCACGGCTATGTTTGTTGAGATACGACGCGTTGTACTCTGAGCCCTAGTTGGAGGCTGCACTTCAACCTTACCGGTGAATGATATGGAAAGAGAATTTTAGTATTAGCACAGTAGCCTGATTGAAATTTGATGAGAGAAGTATCAATATATTTCTGTAGACCCTGAGATACAAGTTTGGTAACCTCCATCTTCAATTTTCGTTGAGATGTTACGCGCCGTGTTCCGGTCCCTCCTGCAGCGCTTGAACACCACTCATGGTCATGGACTCTCCTCAAAACAAATTCCCACCATTTGTCCGTATTGATCGGCCTTTTAGAACGAGATTTTCGGAGAAGCTCAGAGAAAATTTTGATGTAGAAGTCTCGACTTCGTTGATTGACTATCGTGATGTAACGCAGACTCGCTTGACTAACTCGAGGAAAAATAAACTGAATTCAATGCGAGAACGCTGATGCTGCTGCAGTATCAAACTCCTGATACTAAATGCACCAGAAAGTATCGCTGAAATACGCCATGCTAACCCCCAGAACCTCATTAATGCTCCCATCTCGCATGCAGTATCCCATACGCCTCGAAGCACCATGCTTTGCACCCTCGAGTCGCTCAATCCTCACCCAAGCTCTCCCTCACAATCCTACGACACCGCTTTCTAAACTCTTTATCCTCATTCTTCTTCTCCTCTCTCCACAACCTCGCGGCCTCCACATTTGCTGGGCTTTCATCGTTAGGGCTATGCAGCAGACTAATCACACTCAATAAGATAGTCTCCGGTGTCTGGACTGGACTCCATCGCTCGCTCGCAGATTCGTACCCGTATTGGTCGTCTCCCGGAGGGTGGAGGATCGATATGCAGAGTCGACCGTCGACGTAGATATTTGGGTGGAAGGGGATTGGGTGCTTGAAGACGAGGTTGGGCGGCATGTGGGGGTAGTCGGGTGGGAAGGAGAGGTAGCAGCGGAAATTGCCTCCTGGAAGAAGAGATGCGGATTAGCCCTGAGTTCTAAAAGGTAGCACTTGCGCAAGAAGAGGCCGAATAGAGTTGGACGAGGGAGGAGCTGGTAAGACTTACCGCCATAGTATTTGCAGTCATCCGAGATCATGAGCATAACCTCCCACTCGAAGATGTTTTCGCCCACCAGACCGCACGATATTCCTGGCAGGTCCTTCGCAGATTGCATGTACTTGAGTTGTCGTGAAAGGAGACCAGCTGCGCCAGCTGAGCTTTGCGCCATTTTGACAGCGGGTGTTGTCGAAGAGGTTGGAATGTGGTTTGTGAGGTTTGCAGTCGGGAAGTTGGATTTGGTTCAAAGCGCCTAGGGAAGGTTTTGAGAATAAGTCGCAGATGAGAAAGAGGAAGTATTGATGTGACTCAAAAGAAGGAATTCGTAAACAATGACTGGGGAGGAATGGGGTTCGTGATTGTGGCACTTGTGTAATGGATGAATCTGTTGAGTTCTGGGTCCTCGGCGGAGAGATAGTTGTATGAGACTTCTTGCACGTCTTCGTGATGTTTTCTGTCTAGATATTTAAAGGTTAAGAGCTGGGTATGCGAGGAATAATGCCTCGAAGTGAACAACAGTGGACTCAACTCTCAAGGTTGGAGGGGCTTCTAGCGCCAGATTCAGCTGCGGGGCATCGGGGTTAAGTTTATCCGACTGCCTACACCTTCTCCGAAATTCTTCCCCTTCCATTCGGCCTCGCCTCTTTCAAGAAAGTCTTGCAAGGCGGATTTATGATCAACCCCTCGAAGATTCCTTATTTACTCGACTTTCTAGAGTATGTATGAGTATGTATTACTTATGAGATTAAATGGGAAGCCCACCCAAGTCCCAGGATTGACTTCGATCGCGTGATGACTGAGCTGTCTTGGGTTTGAGATCTTCTGCAACTAAGGGCAGTTATCGTCCGGAATCAGGCTGCTCTATTTCATGACAGCCGAATGTCCTCAATCTTTGTGTCTCTATGGTGTCGCAAAAGGTCGAGTGCTTCTCCATGCATGAATCCGTTTATGTAGCATTCACCAACAACATTAAACGATGTTCCCTCCTGCCTCTTCCTCAAAACTACCGGGATACTGCAACCAAGCAAGACCCATATTTGGTCTCCTCTCCGAGTTCGACACGGAACCATTCCAGTATTCCCGTCTTTCGTTATCATCAGCCTTCTTGACATCCCTTGAGTTGTGTCGTTGAACCTCGAGAGAAAAGATTGACGGTCAAGCAAATCTCCACTGAATCTCGATCTCGATCTAATACCTTTTGATTTTCTACAGACGTCCTCCAATGTATACCCTTGGATGTAAAGTTGTCGATTGCGTTGGAACCAGTCGAGGAATTGACCGTCAACTTTCTGGGGCGTTTGCAAGGCAGTTCGGCACAAGTCCCCGAAGTACTTATGGCAATATTCCTTGCTAGACAGCTCTTGGGTGAGATAGCGATCCCTTCGGTCAAGCATGAGGCACCGCATCAAGTCCTCCATAATCACAGACGCTGTCCCCGGTTTCAACTCGCCCGTCTGAGTAGAGTTGCTATTCTCCTGCAGCAGTGGAAGGTTGAAACCAGACTCGGACTGGACGCAATCGTATATCTTCTCTCTCTCGTTTCCGTTTTCGTCTCTGTGTCGGCCGGCTTTTAAGCCGCCAATGCCGTCGACGGAGTCCAGAAAAAGTCCACGGCAAGATAGAGTCTGATGATCTGTGGATATTTTGACTTCAAAAGGATATTCGCTTATCCCAGCAGCATAGAGAGTCGTTTTCCCGGTTTGCTTTCCTTGCAACGCGGAAGGTCTGAAATTTCCTGTTCCCTTGCCAGAACTTTGGCATGCCATGGCAGGAACGACCCATGGCACGATCTCTGCTCTCCAATCGGGGCACCACGTCGGCAGTCTAGGTCTAAAATGTTCGCTCACTGCATCTCCATTGAACCGATCAGCGAGACAAATGATATCCAGACTCTTGTAATGCGCCACGAATTCCATGACAAGATCCGTGTATACCTTTCCCACATCATCTTCATATCTTGGTCGTCCAACCAAGCTACCATCATCCACCAATCCGAGGACTGAGTAGATCCTATCTCTTGGGTCCGTAGCTTTGTAGTCCCCGATGTACGACATAAGCCCAAGGAGATTCATGTGGAATTCGCTTCGATAACACATCAATAGCCTCCTCCTCGACCAAGCCGGCTCCCACGCTTGCTTCGAAACCAAAGAGGTGTCGATCTTTTGACAAAAGTAGATAGCCAATACAGCCACATTCAACTCGTCTCGATCGATGCTTTCCTTCCCGCAATAGAACCTGAAGTTCAACGGCACAATGTATTCTTGTAATGTCCAAACTCGCTTCCACCATAGTCTAAGCAGGAGTTTCTCGACCGCTTTCCAACTTTCACGGTCTTCAAGTTCGGGACTAAGGACTTTCTTTTCGTCGTCGCGTTCGGCAGCAAGTCTATCTCTGTTCCTAAACAGCAAGCGCAGGAATCTCACAGCATCCTCGCCACCGTCAGAGCCTGGGCCAAGCCAGCCCAGCACCATCTCGGCACTTTCATAAATCTGCTTCATGATAGCCACTTGACTATTCCTCTCGGTCTCAGCCTCGATGTCGGTTCCTTGATTAATACATATCGAGTCTATCCACCACCAGCATTTGTTCAGGCCGTCATCGTCACATATGGTTCCGAGGATAGGATAGAGGCTATCCAGTATGGGAAATGGACAGTCGTTGATGCTGACTTTGTTCGAGTAGGTTTTTGGGCCCCAGACATAAGAGACGGCGTTGAATCGAGTGTGCTCATCCCTGAGAGTGAAATGCTCTAGCCAACCGATTATGGAACCAAGGGGTGTTCGTTGAAGCCGTAAGAGGCGGATTGTCGAGACGGTGGTGTTGAGGGGGGTGTATGGGAAGGGCTGATGCGGGGTTTGCCTGTGCGTGACTTGCATCTTTGCGAGTGGGGTATTAGGAGGTTCACACCATGTGAGACTTTAATGAATAATAAGAAGATGGGTAGTGAAAATGTATCAGGCAACGAGGCTGTTGATAGCTGCGCCTCGCCTGCAAGTCAGCCTTGACTGCGGAGTCTTGACCAATGACATGAGCTTGTTGGACTTCATCCTCGATGTCTATCCGCTTCAAAACAGTTCAAAGGAGAGATTTTAAAGTGACAAGTGATAAACAATACAACGGTGAATGCATAAAACAAGAACTTTAAAATATTCATGCTTGAATTGAGCATCAGAGAGGACGTGTAAAAATTCTTTACTCGCCTCGGCACTGTTCTCTCGCTTCCCGGCACACAAAAAGCCAAGTCCTTGAAAAGACTTTAACAAATCCTGCAGTTTTCCTTCAACTTATTTGAACTTTGAAATTTTAGATCCAACACTTCCGAGGTTGAGTCCTAGCTCCGTGGCGTTATTCTTAGCTCCTCAAGATCGATGAGGTTTGAAGTTGAGGAGGCAACCTATGTAAACAGATTATGATCATGTGATACCACAGATTTTTGAAATTCGCTCACAGCATCAAAAATAGAAAGAATCCAACGCACGTAAGTGCAAAAAGAAGAGAGAATATGGTCCCTACGAGGGTCGAACTCGCGACCTTGGCGTATCAACGTGAACGGAGATATTAGCACCACGCTCTAACCAACTGAGCTAAGGGACCTGATTGGTTAATTTTGATGAGAAATACTTATTTAAATCTATACTGACAGCTAGGGTGTTGTGGGAAATTCGTGAGATGAAATTGTGGAGTATTACTGAGATGAGTGGAGCATTGAGAGTCACGTGCCATCAGCACGAGTCTCATTAAGCCTGTCACAATGAATGACCTTTGATCAATGAGGTCAATGAGGCGTGATCGAAGTTACTTCAGGGTCCCAGAATATACTTGCGTTGGGTTTGAAACGCTTACCAAAGATCAAGACATGTGGAAAGGCTTTAGCGAGAACAGTTCTCTGCAACAGCACTTACACTTCAAGTCAGTGCCCAATGAACATAGACTCGCTAAAGTAGAAGGAAAGAATTTGGGTGATAATGCACGGTAGGTCAAACACCCCTAGAAAGTTTGAGGTGAGAGAAATGCTTGGAGGTCGATATCCGGCCAAACGCTGGGATAGCTATCACTAGCTCATCAAATCAGATCTCAATGACAGACTTCGAGACATTGCATTCAAATATTTTAAGACAATAAATCTCGACCTCTTACTTGTCACAGAATAACCTTGAATCATGATCTTCATAAACCTAAAGCTTCTCGACGCGAGGTTGAAGCGGGGTCCAAGTACGGCTGTTCACCAATCGAGCTCGCCCTAATACCCGTACGCACAGCGCCTTCCACCAAATGCGTATCAGGCTATGAGAGTCAGCATTTGATCATTTGCAAGGCTGACAAGATCACTTACCGTTGCAGCATGCCAAACACAACTATTGTTCCAAATCGCAGCAGCACCCTTCGTCCAATGCATCCTCGCAACACAATCATGATTCATCGTAATCAGCCTCATGATATACTCTCTGATCATCCTATCCTCATACTCATACACACCATTAATCTTCGTGACATGGAGTCCAACGCCTGCAAAAATGGACTTCCAACCTGTTTGTCTATTGGTTCGAATCACGGGGTGGACAGGTGCGAATTCATCTCCGACATTAAGGGGTGAGCCACGAGGCGACATTACTTCATACCCGCCCGCAGCACAGGCTGATCGAAAGACTGGTTGAGCGCAAGTCGCTGTTAATGTGTCGAGGAAGGCACGCATGGGTGGGGAGATACGGTCATAAATCTCGTAGCCTGAGCACCACAAAGTGTCGCCTCCGTGAAGTGGGGTTTCTTCCATCATGAGGCAACTGAAATCTGAGGGACAGACCTCGAATGTTGCTAAAAGCTTGTGAGAAATTGTAAATGAGGCAGGAAAGGATTCTCGAACCATCACTGTGCCATTCTCGACTTAAGTTCTTGGGCTCTTTCGAGTCCTTGCCAGCCATGGTCTTGTATAACTTTTTTGCGGCTTCTGAGTTTATCACATATCTGTCTGGAATCAGCTCCAAGCTCCGTTGCCCGCAGGATTAGCTTACATATTTTCATCAGTTTCCCCATTTCCCATAGGAATGTTCCCCGGATCTCGATACAGTGGATGAACGTGCAACCCGTTCTCCTTGGGTCTCCCACTCAACTTGCCCACCAAATCTGTGAACTCCTTCAACTCGTCAACACTCAAATCGAGTTCGCTCTCTCTGAAAAATACAACTCCGCGCTCACTGATAATCACCGCCAAGTCACGGATTTGCTCCTCTGCATTTGAAGCGTGAAGAATGTCCTTTATCTTCGCTTTCGTATATTCTCGTCCGATGATCGGAGTGACTTCCACAAACTCTAGATGGTCTAGAGAGCCGCCGTATGTCATCGGCTTGTATCTAAGCTCGTGGTCTGGGTCTGCTGCGATCATTTTGGCGAGTATCGACTTCGAATTTCTAGTGCTTTCCAAATTTCAATCTCTCGTTACACCAAACCATCTCATTTATAACTTCAGACTTCGCTTCAACTCCGATGATGTGCCGTAAAGTGCTGTTAGGCGGTGGGGTATTATAACTGCCGAATTTTTTCTTTGTGCGGGGTTACACAAATATGCTGTCAGCTGCAACCTCCTTCTCTCGGAACTCGGGGTGACGACTTGGCGATTATTCTCGTCTCTTCATTTGTTCTTGTGTAATGGATGACGGTATCCGCATCCTGCAGACTGGTCAGCCACGACTTATATCTCTTGTGTTTGCCCCAACTCTCCAATTGCGGGGGTGGGGCCCTGGTAGAAGATCTTGTCTTGGTCTGCATTACTTATACAGATATGCATCTGTTATTAGTCTCTGCTGAATTCGAATCGCAGATAAAGTGCTGGAATGATACACTCCATCCTTGAAGTGGGTCGCTAAGGGTTCCGACTCGACCCTTCGTAGGCTCGCGCAGCATGACAACAGCTGAGCCCCACATATACACCAGAACTTCATCTGAATTCCCTTGATTATCCCCGGTTAGCTCTCCAAATGCTAAGAATAGGATTACCGACAGGGCGGCACGATCTCGGGAAGGGAAATTTTGAGAGTTTGGAAAGCCATCCGCTCATGTCCAGCATGAGCTTGTGATAGGGACTGAGAATAGGCAAATCTTCCATATGTACTCAACTTCGCAACTGCTCGTTCCCTGAGCTCAAACTCAACATCACGCGTCTCTTCAAGACTTACGCACTTGCAATAGTGCACGCTATACCGATCTCAGCGAATCCTCTCAAGCTCGACGTGAGAAGTCATCCAAAATTTCTTCCTCATAATAGGTACCTTCTAGTTTGGTCTTAACTATGCTCTTGTCGGAGGACTTCTTTCGTGAGTATTTGATGCCTAACTGCAAAGCTTTCAGCTGATGTCCAGTTGGTGTGCCTGGATTTCTTGAAGTGTACGGATACTACTCACTTCAGCTCAAGAAATGGAACATCGATGTGCGTTTCTAGTGAAATCCAGTCCGCAGAAATTATGCTGATCAAATGCCTTTAGCCCACTGTCCAACATCTAATCTCTTCCCTCATGACAATTGGCACTTTCCTCTCATCCCTTCTAGTCGGGCCTCTCAGCTCCAAGTTCGGACGAAGACACGGACTCTGGGCTGCCGCAGCTCTCAACGCAATAGCGACAGCGATTATGCTCAGTACCACAAACGTCAGTGCTCTCTATACAGCACGTCTCATCTTCGGTACCTTCTCCTCCTCTCAATCCAAACATTTGCAGATTGACTTCGGCACAGGTGTCTCAGTTGGCTGGTTCTTCGCCTTTCTGTTGTCCGCTTTCATGCTGCGAATGGTCTGCTAATCTTCCCCAAGTAAATCCTGGATGTTCGACACTGACTTGTTAATTAGGATCATCATGGGTCAACATCTCACCACTCCGCCCAATCTATCCACCTCCCTACGTCGAACGTCTATATTGGCGTATGGCTTATTAGAAACTAAGTGACCCGATTTTGGACGCCGTTGGGAGTATCGTCATTGGGAGTCAAGGCCAAGCCGCCTGCGACGCGGATATCCGCGGTCAGCGCTGAACCAAACATTTGTCTAGCTGCTCGCAGGGGACGAAGAGGAAGGAACTCGGACTCGTTTGTGATTTCATAATGCATTATTTTCTCCGTAGCTGGTCGTGGTGCCTGATCCGAATACTATGTGTAGTCGAGTTCTTGCCAGCCATACCAATCGTTCCAGGTTTGTACGTCGACAGCTCATCTTGTCCTTCTCGTCGTAGCTTAATAGCGCCGCCAGGAGATAGTTGCCGTAAACTACACAACCTACTTCCTAGCTATAGCAGGTGTACTTAGGTAACCAATGCATTCGCGATGTCCGTAATGATAACGTGCATCGGTCTCATAGGTTGCCTTTTCAGTATAGCTTTCACACGTTACATCGACCGTCGTACCGTCATCATCATAATTGGCTGCTCAGCCTGCGCGATCTGTCAACTCATGATGGCGGTCGTCTGGACCGTCAAGCCTCGTTCCGGGGTAGCAGGGAGATGTGTCGTTGCTTTCATCTCGCTGTTCACTTTCTTCTATGTTGCATACTGTAAGCTAGCCTCTCAAAGATTCTGTGAGTAATGAGAAGAACAAAACTAACAAGAAACAGCGCCAACAGCATGGTTCGTAGGCAGAGAACTTCCCAACAATCAGCTCCGGCCATTCACATACGGTCTCGCCACAGCATTGAACTTCGTCGGCGACTGGCTCGGAACATTCACAGCTCCATACTTCATCAACCCCGCGAAACTTGGCTGGAGTGCAAAATATGGATACATCTAGTTTGGGACGAATACCTTGCTCGTCCTGCTCACCACCTTCTTCATTCCAGAAACTCGTGATTGGACTTTAGAACAGGTGCATGAGATGTTTGAGAATAAGGTGCCGACGCATAAGTTTGAGACCTATGTTTGTATGGGCGTGGAAATGTATGCTAAGGAGCTGCGAAAGCGGATGTCTTGACAGAGAGGAAGCCGTTTGCATAAGGATATGAGAAGATGGAGGCGGAAGTCGAGCATGTTGAGGCCCACTCGGGGAGGAACTTGAGCAAGCAGGACGTCTACGAAGCTTGTCACGAAAAGAAGAAATCAAATGGATATAGCACCGCTCAAGATCAGCGCTCAAATAACAATGCTCACAACCAAACCACATGAACGCTCAAGTAGTGATCCCCAGATTTGCTCTCCATAACCTCCTCTCTTCCTTCAAGCTGGCTTTCGCAAAGGCCACTGACCCAAGGACGAATATGGTCGCCCAGATATACGGCAAGCCCCAACCCACTCCAAATGCGACCTCTTCCTTGAGCGAAAATATCAGGATAGTGGTGATGATCGCTATCCCCATGAACCCCAAACCCCAAACCCAGTTGAGTCTCTCGATCATTCTGCGGAACAGAGGGCTTGATTCGTATCGTCTGATAACTGCAAGGCGAGCAGCAAGTTCACCCCGAGCCTCGATAGAGGCCGAGTCTTCGATGATAGCGAGAAGTGCTGGACGAAAAGGCGATCCCTTAGGAGTCGAGGACATCGCAAAAGGAAGGGGGATTTGGAAGTGCGTTAGGACGGATGTGAGGAGGAATAGAATGCCAAGATAGTAGCAGATAATTGCAGATG